CAGTATTCCCAGACCAGGGAAAGCTCTCCCAGCAGAAATCAAGAGCCAGTATTCCCAGACCAGGGACAGAAAGGGGGCCGAAACTGAACCAGATAATTATAGAAGGGAGTGTGGAACAAGCTGGTCAGCCACGTGTGGAAGCCAATAATCTGGCTTCTTTCAGGAAACAGAACAAGGACAAGATCCTCAGATCAATGAACTACTAACTACTAACTACTAAACAGATAGGCTGAATGTAAAAAATCTTCAGACACAAGTTATTACACCAAAAAGCAAGACCATGGACAGAGGCAGAAACAGACAGAGATGAAGAGACCAACCTTCTTCTCCAATCTGTCCTTGTCATACTTGAGCAGATTCAGGCTGTGCAGCTTGTAGGAGGCGGAGTGGCTGGAAAGGAAGGGACAGAGAGGGACCAGGGAGACAAAACAAGAGGTGTTCATCACTGACGAATGGCATCAGGGATCCTGGCTCTGTGGGTCACTGTCTGTGGTTCTGGAGGAGCTCATGGGTTAAGTGCTACAGCACAGCACAGACAGAGGGTCTGCAAGCAAACGACACACAGCACTGACCGCAGAAGAGAGAGAGACCCTCTCACTTTCCAGACACTGACTAGAAGAGACACACTCTTTGCTCTTCAAATCCAAGTTCAAACAGCTTTATTAGCATGTCCGGTAAATTGTAGTGTTGCCAAAGCATAGACAGTGAATACAGCATTTACAATACAAAAATATCATAGGACATTTACATACAACACATAGCACATGGAACATATTTGAGAACCAAGCTCACTGTTCCTCAAGCCGTGACAGGAGATCACATACTTGGCACCACAGAGATAGGCTCTCTCTCTGTCCAGACACTGACCGCAGAGACAGGCTCTCTCTCAATTCACTCACACCGGCAACATCAGGGTTGCAGTCCCTCACTAGTATCACTGGAGGGCTTGCTCATACAAACACACATGCACACTCACGCTCATACTCAGCACACAACACCAACAGTAAGAGGTCAGCACAGTCTCACTCTTCTGGGAGAAATTCTCCCCTGTCACAGACACACAAACAGACAGGAGCTCACCTGGCACTGGATTCACGGGGTCTGGAGTTCTTCACTGGATCTCCAGGGAGTCTGGAGTTCTTCACTGGATCTCCAGGGGGTCTGGAGTTCTTCACTGGATCTCCAGGGGGTCTGGAGTTCTTCACTGGATCTCCAGGGGGTCTGGAGTTCTTCACTGGATCGCCGCGGGGTCTGGAGTTCTTCACCGGATCACCAGGGGGTCTGGAGT